TTTAGCTTGGCTGTGGTGTCCCGTGTCCCCGACGGTGCAGAAGGTGACATGTAGGGAGCGGAGCGAGGCCAAGGGGCCGTGCCAGCGGTCCGGCCATGGCACGGACACCCCATCCTTGTGCCGGACAGCGCCGGCTCCTTGACTGGAGGAGCATTGCTCACAAAAGTGATGCTGATCCGCAGGCCCTGCCCTTCTCCCCGTGCAGCTGCTGGGGGGGCGATGTGTTGGCGCTCGCTGTCCCTCGGGTGCTTTTGCCTCCTGGTCCTTAGGAGCTGGCTGGGCCCGCAGACCGCGGTCTGGAGGAGGGCGAAGGCAAGGGAGGTTTTCGGGGATGACCGAGGGTGTGCAGCAGCAGTGTTGGAGATGCGGGTTTGCAGGCACTGAGTGAGCATCACAGCATCCCCGCTTGGCTACTGGGTCCTGCGACTGGCCCGGGGGGGCACGGCTGGCTTCCCCCAGGCTGCCGGCAGCACCGGGGTTATTGGCTGCTCCCTTTGGATGGCACGTATGCTCAGCCATGCCATGCAGGGCTGGCATGGGAACCAAGAAAAGACATCGCCGTGGGACACCAGGTAGGTCCTATGGACAGAGGGCACCACGAGGTGGCATCTCCTGTGGGCTGGAGCTCCTAGTCCTCAGCCCTGCCTGCTGCTGCTCTCCTCCAGCCTCACCCGGAGCCGGTGACGGCCACCACAGTGCCCACACTGGAGGGTGACGCTGGGGTCCTGGACCTGCCAGGCCAGCACTGGGCCATTGCACGCTACTTGCTTAACTATTTCCTGCCCATCCCACTGGGCATTCACTTCCTGGCTGAGCGGCTGAGTGACGTGCGGCTGCAGGAAGGTGGACGGCCAGGACGGAGGTGAGTGGGAAGGGGCTCCATGCAGGTCACCCACAGCACATCCCAGCTTTGCTGTGCCTTGCGTGCTGCTCTCCCAGCAGCCGAGTGCAGGGCTGGATGTGGCCCTGATAGTGCCTGGGTTGGATGTAGCACCTCGCAGGGGC